AGGGCCATGGATCCATAATTTGATTGCTGTTGTCCAGTGTAATTTCCAAAATCATTGAAGTTCTCACCACCACCATAGTTACCTCCAAAATTTCCTCCTTCATTGTAACCATCATATCCTCCACCACCGCCACCATATCCACCACCTTGGTTTCCATATCCTGGTCCACCACCATAGCCTCCTCTATTATGACCAGGACCACCGCCAATAGTAGCCACCATCACCTCCAAATCCATTATATCCATCATCACCTCCTCCATAACTACCTCTGCTGCCACTTCGACCACCATAGCCTCCTCTTCCACCAACATTTCCACCATGGCCAAAGCTACCTCTACCACCTCCAAAGTTTTCTCCACAATCCATAAAATTGCCAGATCCACCTCCATGTCCTCTTTGCCATCCAGCAGACTGCATTTCTTATTTGGAAAGGGTCTTTTTCACTTCACAATTATTCCCATTAATAGTGTGGCATTTCTCAACAATTTGATAGACTGTATCATGATCATCAAAAGTTACACCCTGGCCAGTTTGGCTTAGCAGTTAGAGCGCCGGCCCATGGACCAGAGAATCCCAGGTTTGGTTCCCACTAGGGGCACGTACCTCGGTTGTGGTTCGTCCTTGGCCCCGGTTGGGGTTGTAGACGCATCTAGTTGATGTGTCTCTCTCACATTAATGTTTCTCTCTCTCCCTTCCTCCCTCCCTCCCACTCTATCTGAAGATAAATGCAAAAAATGTCCTCGAGTCAGAATATATTTTTTTTTAAGTTACAAAAGCAGCCCGGCCAGTGTAGCTCAGTGGTTGAGCATCAACCCATGCACCAAGAGGTTGCCAATTCGATTCCTGGTCAGGGCACATGCCTAGGTTGTGGGTCCAAGCCCCCCAGTGGGGGGCATGTAGGAGGCAGCCAATCAATGTTCTCTCTCATTGATGTTTCCCTCTCTCTCTCTCTCCTTGTCCCTTCCTCTCTCTCTAAAATCAGTAAAAAAAAAAATGTTTTTAATAAAATAAAATTTAAAAAGCAAAAGTTATAAAAGCAAATCCTCTTTTTTCCTACTCTGCCTGTCTTCCATAACTTCTATGGTTTCAATTTTGCCATGCTTTTCAAAGTAGTCTCTCAAATCAGATTCTTCTGTATCTTCTTTAATACCACCAACAGCCCTGGCTGGTTTTTCTCAGTGGTTAGAGCGTCAGCCTGCAGTCCAGAGAGACCTGGGTTTGGTTTCCACTAAGGGAATGTACCTTGGTTGCAGTTTGTCCCCAGCCCTGGTTGCGTTGTACAGGTGGCAACCACTCGATGAGTCCCTTTCACGTCGATGTTCTCTCTCTCTCTCCATCCCACTCTATCTGAACAAAAAATGAAAAAATGTCCTCGGGTGAGGATTAAAAAAAAAAAAAATACCACCAACAAAATTTTCTTCACTGTTAGATGGGCACCAGGCTTTACACAATCCTCTCTAGAAACAGCTCTCTTTGGTTCCACTACACTCCCTTCAAGCTTGTGTAGTCAAGCACACATTGCTGCATTCACCTCTTCAAGAGTGAGTCACAAAACCAAAGCCCCGGGAACATTTTGTTTGGGGGTCTCTCATCACCACACAATCTGTGAGCATGCCCCATTTCTCAAAATGTTCTCTTAAACTATTATCTGTGGTTTCAAAGCTCAGAACACCAATAAATAGTTTTCTCAACTACCCTGTTTCCTTAGGATCATAGCCCTCCATTTTGAGACTGGACTCGCCTCTTCTAACTTGAGCTCAATATCAGAAAACTGATTTTCTAACAAAGATTTTCTTCCAATCACTAGAGATCTGTCATTTTATTTATTAGTCCAGAGTCTTTGTTTTTAACTAATAATTATTAATTCCAAAATATAATGCTAGCATATCACCAGACAGAACGAGAACAGATGAGATTCAGTTTAGGGTATTAATTCCAGCTAGCTCCTAGAATAACTCTGTGTAAATGCCTTGGTCTTTCATTGTTTTTGCCTTTTCAAATATATTCAACCTGGCTAAAAAAAAGAAGAAGAAGAAGAAGTCTGAAAAAAGCTCAGCAGTGATGTCAGATAAAGCAGGAACTTTCTGGTTTAGAAAGAAATGAACAAAGCATTTAAAAATAGAAAGAATAAATCTGTGGTGCATTTTTATTTTAAAATCTCCACTAAAAGACAGTTTGAGGTTTTTGTTTTTGTTTTTTTAAGTTGGTGGGCTTGTTCACTGGTGCTAAATAAAACAGTTTTATCAGTTGAGGATCCTGTCACCCCACAAGGCATTACTGAATGCAGTGAAGCCTGACTTTAGATTTTTATTTGGTACCTACTCTCCATCCTCTCAAGCCCTTAGCTCTTTCTTCCTCAGAAATTTTGACCTGCAGGTGTCTAAATGAAAAGTGCTATGGGTCATAGTAAGAGTGTCAACAATTCCACCAGATTACTGCAATTTAAAGCCTAAAAAACAAAAATCACATTTTGTTTCAAATCACACTGGCCCCACCAATCAGCATGAATGCTGTTGTGAATAAATTCAGAGGTTTAGGATTTCATAAAGATTACTTTAACATATTCCTAACGATCTAAAAGTGATTTACCAAAACAGCAGCTTTTTCTAAAATGCGTTGTGCTAAGCCTGAATTGAAGCTTTTGCTCTTAGCGATTATCTTTCAAGAAGCTCTCGAATAGCTTGTTCCTCCTTCACAGAAATCATCCTGGGCACCCAGGTGAAAGAATAGCTTTTGCAGACTCAAAACAGTTCCTAGGTCAGTGGTTCTCAGCCCTGACTGTACATTAAAATCATCTGGGTAGCTTTTTTTAATTTAGCTATGCCCAGCTCTTTCTGATTAATTGTTCCGGGATGGAAAATTGGCATAGTAAGTGGTAAAAGCTCCCCAGATGATTGTAATGCACAGACAAGATTAAGAACCATCAGTCTGACAAGAATGGGTTGGGCCCAGCTTTCATTATCACATTTCTTTTTAGGATCTTAATATGACTCAAAGGCTGTAGAGCACAGTCTTCAGCCCAAGGGCTGATAATGTTTTTTAAAAACTGATAATTTGTTTACAAGTTATTTACACAAAAATAAAATGTCTCCCTCCCATGATTCTTTTCACTAAAGCCACATTCAGTTCTTGCTGTCAGGATTCTCCCAAATCACATTTAAGCTCTATAAACCACGGAAATGTTACAAAAATCCAATATTTCAGCATCCACAGTGATCTCCCAGACTACTACCTACACCTTGGACAGTACAAAATTTTTGTTATATCACATTTCTATTTTTTTTTTTTTATCCTCACCCGAGGACATTTTTCGATATTTTGTTCAGATAGAGTGAGAGGGAGAGAGAGAAACATCGATGTGAAAGGGACACATCGAGTGGCTGCCACCCACACGACCCAACCAGGGCTGGGGATAAACTGCAACCAAGGTACGCGCCCTCAGCAGGAACCGAACCCGGGTCTCTCCGGACAGCAGGCCGACGCTCTAACCGCTGAGCCAAACCGGCCAGGGCACATTTCTATTTCTTGGTTTTGAAAAACAGCATTACTAGATCTACCTGTAGTGTCAACACCTTCCTATTTTTTTCTGTCTAATATTCAAAGGCCACAAGTCCCTTTTCTCCATAAAGCCTTCCTTGGTCACTTTGGGCCCCACTGTTTTCTTCCTAATATGAATTTATAGTCCCGACCACTTCTTTGACATCTGTTGTACTTCCATTTGACCTTTCACCCACTTTGGGGCCTGTTTGCCTAACAACCTTGGGGAAAAGAACTACTGCTTACAGTTGTTTGTGTATCCCAGTTTCCAGGACAAAGGCTCACAATATAAATGTTTCGGTTTCCACTATCAAATTATAACTTTCTGGCCCTGGCCGGTTTGGCTCAGCGGTTAAAGTGTCGGCCTGCGGTCCTGAGAGACCCGGGTTCGGTTCCCGCTAAGGGCACGTACCTCAGTTGCAGTTTGTCCCCAGCCCTGGTCGGTTGTGCGGGTGGCAGCCACTCGATGTGTCCCTTTCACATCAATGTTTCTCTCTCTCTCTCTCTCTCTCTCTGTTCCTCTCTCTCCCTCCCACTCTACCTGAACAAAAAATGGAAAAATGTCCTCGGGTGAGGATAAAAAAATAAATAAATAAATAAATAAAATAAAAATCTTTAAAAAAAAAATTATAACTTTCTGACCCTCTTTACCTCTCCAACTCTTTTCATTGAGCTCTCTCCTCAACTTTAAAACTCCCTTGAATCCGACTAGGGCAGTGGTTCTCAACCTTCTTAATGCCGGTACCCTTTAATACAGCTCCTCGTGTTGTATGTGAGGGTATCTACATGTGGGTGGACCCGCCTGGAGACCGACAGAGACAGAGGAGCAGCGGGTGTATCGGTACCTTAGACCATGGAAAGTTTGTGTTTTCCATGGGTCTTAGGTGACCCCTGTGAAAGGGTGGTTGGACCCCCAAAAGGGTCGAGACCCACGGGATGAGAACAGCTGGACTAGCGCATCCATCTTACCAAGCACTCTTGGGTACTATTACTGACTTTTGAATTTTTAGATTCTACAACACGTGCGAAACAAAACCAACTAGATTCCTGTCGTTGGTGACTGGGTTTTTTCGGCTAGTCTACCTGCTTAACTCCTTTACAATTTTTCTCTTTTCTCCCCTCAAAATCTGAACTGTCTAGATAATTTCCACAAACAAGACTTCTTTCCAGCCAGCATCCCCATTCCCTCCTCAAGGGCCATTTCCAAGCCCTCGTTCTCTTCTCTAAGATGGCGGCCACAAAGCACGGGGCAGGCTGTGCAGTTCCGCCCACGCAAGGCCGCAGTCGCCACGGACCAGAGGAGGATGGGCTAAAAGAGCATGGGCCTGGGGCGGGGGGGCGGGGCGGGAGGCGGGCTGAGAAACAGGCAGGGCCAGAGGAGAGAGCACCAAGGAGGCCTATGGCTGCGCCACACCAGAGCTGAGACTTTCGTCACCGGAAGTGAGGGCCACACCCCTCCCACTAACGTCAGGAGCCGGAAGTGAGCGTTGCTGGGGGCGCTGATGAGGAGTGGTGGCGACTGTGCGGAGAGCGTGTCTTGACTCAGGTAGGAAAGCCGTCCGACCCTGATTGGGGGACCCCCAAACAATTCTCGTTAGGGTGCTGGGGTGCTTTCACCAACTTTTACCTTCCTTTTCAAGCCCAAAGCCTCCAGCCTGGTGGGTTCTCAGCACAGCTGTTCGGCTACTGGCGGTTCCGCCGCTTCGTCCCCTCGAGGGCCTCCCCAGCTCCTTTGTCTGCAGACAAGTTAACCACCTTCTCCTTCTTCTCCTGTGTAGTCCCATTGTTTAAATCTACTCTGAATGTGCTGTTTAATGAAAGAAAAACTATTTTACTGACCACCACCCCCCTCGCTCTGTTGAGTTGAACCAGTTGCTTCTAGCCCCGAAACTAGACTGCTTCGTGTACTTTGTCCGATTCACCACGTCCAGTACTAGGGAAAAGATCAAGCTCACCTGTTAACAGTTTGATGTGGAAGATACTTCCGTGGACGAGGCTGACATTGAGGCTGTGGATTCCAGGGCCCTTTATCTACTCTAATTAGCCTTTTTGCCCCCAAAGGATAGGGTGGCATCCTACAAGTTACTGAATCTATTCCTGCTGATCATTCCTTTAAATGCCTTAAAATCAAGGAACATAATACTTGGTTGTTCTTTCCAAACCTCTTTTATTTTTATTGGAAAGTGTGAAGTGACTACGTACAAGTAAAAACATGTTGAACGGAAGGTTAGAATTTCTTAATCCAGACATAAAAAACAGTTTTTAGGACAGTTTCACTAATGGTTGTAATTAACAAATGGACCCTGCAGCAAATTACTAAACTAGGGTTCCAGCTGATCACTTGTATTTCTTATCATGGATTCCAAGGCTGCTATGTCATAGAAGGGGGGGGAAGGGGTGTGGAATTGTATGAGAAGCCAAAGGAGAGCTTGATCTACAGACAGTAACTGTAAATCTAGCCCATTTTCAGAAGTTTCTCATGGGGTGGTTTTATATAAATTTAGTTTTTTCCCATAACGATAAGTTTATTTAATCATAGTGCTCAGTAGGGGGTGTCTCCGGTAGAAGAGAATTCAAACTACAAAACCATTTCTTGTCTTTAATTTCCCACATTTCTTTTACAGACCTGTTCTTTTATGATTCTGTTCTCCATAAAATTGGCAGTTCTTAACTCCTAACATTCAGAAGTTTTACCTCAATGCATAAAGGGAATGACTATAAACTGAAGAGATTAAATAACCAAGTCTGTTCATTTTAGCATAGGAGATTGGAGGGGGAGGGCAGAGGGGAGGTAAAGCATTACTGGAAAAAGTGTGGTACTTTCTGACCATGTTTAAGAAAAGTCGTAGAAATAGTAAACTCGAATGTCTCTGGGCATATTGGATGGATTAAGTGTATATACTGTCTGACATAGGCTTCCAGCATTTCCAAGTGCCAGGGGGAAGTATGACTGGCAGTATTTCCATCCAATATTTTTAAGAACTTGAGAGGATAGCTTTAACATTGCACCCTACTTCTGTGCTTATCCTGAAGTTCAAATAACAGTATTCTTGTGATCTTAATTTGCCCTCTCTAAAGTTAAATAGCATCAAACCCTAATAGATGATAAACATTGTAGTGACACTTAAAGTAGACTGACATCACCTCAGTATAGTTGAAATTAGTAGTCATGTGTGGTTTTTCTTAACTGTTTGGGAACCCTAGAATTTATTCCAAACAGGTGTATTAAGCAGTGATGTTGAAATGCTTTAAAGGGGAAAAAATATTCGAGGGAGGAGGGCACTAAGGGTTTCTTATGTTGAACTTAGGAAGCTTCAATTCCAGTTTGACTGTACCTCTCAGAGCCACCTTCAGGTACTTTTCATTTCTGATTCCCTGAACCATTGCTTTTTTCCCCCCGCAGCACTTGGATTCGGCTCCTTCATTTCCAACATGGAAGAAACTTACAGTATGTATTGCTTTTAGAAAATAAGTTAATCTACATATACTTTTATGTCTGACGGGATTTTTAATGTGTGGCAAAGATTCACATTTCTCCTAAACTGCTGAGGAGAAACGGTCTATGTGATAGCAGTGTAGAGAAGTGCCCAAATTTGAAATAAGATCGTTGAAATTTAAATAGTTAAAGAGGCCTTGAAAAGTCATCAAGCTTTGAAAAGGCTGCAGTTAGGACATCTATGTTAAAATATATTTTTATTAAATGAAGCATTTAAATTTCCCAGGACTTCAGTTTCTCCTGTTAATGACACAGGTAGAGTAACCTCAGTTTTCTTTCTGTTTTGAGGGATAATATGGTATACAAAATATTGTTGATGTACATTGAGTTTTTAGGATTAAAGAAATCCTAGGGAGGATTCTTATTTCTCAAATGATCCAGGAACTTTAGATGGCCCAAGAAATCAAAAGGGAGCCAGCACTAGAATCACACCAGTGTGGAATCAAGAGACCTGAGCCCTGGCTGGTGTTGCCCGGTGGTTAGAGCATCAGCCCATGCACCAAAGGGTCTTGAGTTCAATTCCCGATCTAAGGCATATACCTGGGTTGCAGGTTCCATCCCCAGCGCTGATCATGGAGCATTCAGGAGACAACCAATCAATGTGTCTCTCTCACATCAGTGTTTCCCTCTTTTTCTCCCTCCTTCCTTCCTTCCTGTTCTCCCTAAAAAAATCAATGGAAAAAAATATCCTCAATGAGGATTAACCAAAAAAAAGAGAGAGACCTGAAATATCACTTTATTTAACACTCCAACTTTACACTGAGAATACAAAACCTAGATTAATTGATTTGCCCAGGATAACATAGTTAGTTAGGGACATAGTGAGAACCAGAGTCTTATACATTGTGTATATGGAGTACCCTATTTAATATCACAGGCACTATGGTTTCTAGGCCCTGACCAAGTTTGAGGAACATCTGAGCTGGTGAGTAGATGAAACTTCTTGACAGGACCTACCTTGTTTTCTACTTTGCAGTCTTATTCAGGATCTCTTTATAATTAATAAGTTCCAACTAAGGGATATTTTAGTTCCATTCTGCCTTCAAGGAAGAGTCCAATAGACTCTTTATCACCAACATATAGAAACTACATGGAAAATTGTCTTTATTAAGTATCTACAACAAAGGTTCTCAAACTTTATCATGCAGCAGAATCACCTGGGTGGCAGGGTGTGCTTATTAAAATACAAGTTGCTGGACCCTACCCCCAGAATTTCTGATTCTGAAGGTCTGGGATCCTTCAAGACCTTGCATTTCTAACATGTTCTAAGGTGATGCTGCTGATCTAAGGATCACACTTTGAGAATCATTAATCTAGAAGGCTGATTCTTATTGATCTTTCTTAGGGCTCCCTCCTCCACTCTCTTAATTTTTCTTAAAATATTTTCATTAAAATCTGAAATTCTTATGTGAAATAGATTATTCTTAGAAGCTTACTACTCTATTAAATTAGAAAGCACCATCTCAGATTCCCTTTATGTTGCTCATTCTTAGTTACGTTTTTTTTTTAATCCTCATCCGAGGATATTTTCCTATTTATCTTCAGTTAGAGTGGGAGGGAGAGAAAGGGGGAGAGAGAGAAACATCAGCATGAGAGGGACACATCAACTGGTTTCCTCCCGCATGACCCCAACCAGGGCCAGGACAAATCGCAACCAAGGTATGTGCCCTTGACCAGAATTGAACACGAGAGTCTTTGGTCCACAGGCTGTCGCTCTACCACTGAGCCACACCAGCCAGGACTTTAGTTATTTTTTCAGCCATAACTTTTTTTAGAAAAATATCACCTGGGAGTATTAGAAATGCATAATCTCAGGCCCAATCCCAAACCTACTGAATCAGAATCTGCAATGTAACACCTAAGAATCACGTTAAAGTTTGAGAAACACTGCTTTAGAACATACTTAACCTTTTTCTCGATTTGACCTAAAACCTTAATCTTAATCTTACAGATTCTGGAAGATCTCCAGCTTCTGTCTTTAGGCTGTGCCTCTTAGCTAATGATAGTTTTGTCAGGTCTAGTTCCTTATTTTCACACAGTTTTCTCCATTACTCACCATGGGGTCTAGGCCCTACCCAAGTGTGAGGAACATCCAGGTCTGTGCTTTGGGAGGAATCTTGTCCATAGAGCCTATTTTGTTTTCCAAAATAAACTATATTCCCAAAAAGCCAAAAAAAAGTATTGCTGAGCTGTTTGATAGTATTTATTATAACCTTAAATGAGCATATACTTCAATGTAGCACTCTTAGGTATCTGCCAAAGACAAAATACTCATAGAGTGCACAAAGAGGTATATACTAGATTGTTAATCACAGCATTGTATATAATAGTAAAAAACTGTAAACAACCCAGATGTCCATCAGTAAAGGAAATGATTAAGAATCTATGGTACAGCACGGCCAGTGTGGCTCAGTGGTTGAGTGTCGACTCATGCACCAAGAGGTGGCCGGTTCAATTCCCAGTCAGGGTACATGCCCAGGTTGTGGGCCATATTCCCAGTGCGGGGCATGCTGGAGGTGGCCAATCGATGTTCTCTCTCATTGATGTTTCTGTCTCTCTCCCTCTCTAAAAATCAATAAAGGAAATAAATTTTTTTTTTAAAAAAGAATCTATGGTACATCCATTTTCAGCAATGAAATATTCCTTATATGTACTGACATAGGAGTGCCAAAATATAGTAAGTGGGAAAAAAAAAAAAGAACCCTGGCTGGGTGGCTCAGTTGGTTGGATCGTTATCCTACGCACTAAAAAGTTACAGGTTTGATTCCCAGTCAGGGCACATACGTAGGTTTCGGGTTCGATCCCAGGTCTGGGCGCATACGGGAGGCACCTGATTGATGTTTCTCTCTCACATCCGTGTGTGTGTGTGTCTCCGTGTCTCCGTGTCTCCCCCCTCTCCCTCCTCACCTCCTTTCTCTCTAAAATCAGTAAACATATCCTCAGGTGAAGATTTAAATTTTTTTTTAATTTTTAAGTAAATAGCAAAAATAGGTACAGGAAATTTACTACAAAATGGAGGAAACTTGAGGACATTATGCTAAGTGAGATAAGTCACAAAAAGACAAACACTGTATGATTTCACTGTATGATGAAGTATCTAGATTAGTCAAACTCAGAAAAAGAAAGAATAGTAGTTGCCATGGTTGGGTGGAGGAGTTGTTTAATGGATATGGAGTTTCAGTTTTGCAAGATGAAAAAATTCTGGAGATTGGTTGCACAACAATGTGAATATACTTAACACTATTGAACTGTACACTTGAAAATGGTTAAGATGGTAAATTTTATATTGTGTGTATTTTATTACCATTTAAAATTTTTAATTAAAAAGAAAATTAAAATTTTTAAATCTAAAAAAGCAGGTTATAGCTGACCTAAATTACTAGAGACCAAAAAAGTAAAGCATTATGATAGGAAACTGTCATTATCAACTCTGACATATGCCACTATATGGGCAGTGCAGTGTGTATGAATCATAAGGTACATCCAGTCTATCAGCTGCTGGCATGGCTTAACATTTGCTAGTGATGAAATGGATTAAATGAAAGGATTTAATAAGAATTATATCTGTAAACTTGCCCTGGGTGTCCTGAAGCTTCAGAAATATGAAAACATTAATGATCAGACTATGCCAGGTTAGCATCATAAGCCTGCCTGTCCTCTAAGGTTTTTCCTTTCTATTCATTGTGTCCTTCAAGTCACCTTTCTGGCTCATTTGCATCACAGTCATGGTTAGCATTTTATCCCATGTTTACCACTCTTCCACTGAAACTGTCTGTTTCAGTTCCCCACTGGCTTCTGATTTTCATAGCAGTCTCCTGGTTTATAAGCTTCGTATCAAATGTGAATTATCTTCACTTTTATCATTGCCTTCAGTGGGGGCAAAAGCATTATTAGGTTGCCTCTTGTCCTCATTGTATACTGAGAATGTGCCTAACCATTTAATTTTCCTTCCTTAACTGGCTTATTAAAATTTAGGGCTCAGACTTCCGGTCAAGTTGGGGTAGGTAATCAGGGTTTCGCTTCCTCCCACAACCACATCAAAATTACACCTAGCCCGACTGGTTTGGCTCAGCGGGTTGGAGCGTCGGCCTGCGGACCAGAGAGTCCTGGGTTCGGTTCCCACTAGGGGCACATACCACAAAAAAAAAAAAAATTTACACCTAAACTACAACACAACCATCATTCAGAACTGCCTGAAATCAAGCTGAATGGAAGTCCTACAACTACAAAATTAAAGAAGCAGCCACATGGAGACTGGAGGGGCAGAGGCACAGACAGACTGGTCCCACACCCATGTGTGGCAGATAAAATCAGGAGGACACCTCGGCTATGAAGGTCCTCCCTGAAGAGTGAGGGGTCCCCTCCCACACCAGGCGCCCAGCGCAGGGTTCCAGTGCCAGGAAGAGAAGTCTCCATAACTTCTGACTGGAAAACCCAGTGGGACCTGAGGCTGGGGAAAGCTGTGGCTGCTGGAGCCCCAGGCAGTTCTTTTTTTTTTTTTTTTATCCTTACCCGAGGACATTTTTGCATTTATCTTCAGATGGAGCAGGAGGGACAGAGGGAGTAAGAGAGAAACATCCACATGAGAGAGACACACATGGACTGGTTGCCACCCACATGACCTCAATTGGGGCCAGAGACAAACTGCAACTCAGGTATGTGCCGAACCCATGACTCTCTGGTCCACGGGCCAAAACTCTAACTGCTGAGCCAAACTGGCCAGGGCCTAGGCAGTTCCTCTGAAAGGACCCAAGCACAGACTTGCTCCCTATAAGCTTGGAGGGGAGGCAGCTTGAGGGGTGCCAGAGACATAGAGGGAAGAACTGAGCTGTGTGGCCTCAGGATGAGGGCTGGAGAGGCGGCTTTCTCCTGGACAGATGTGCTGGCAGAGGCTGATGTTCTTTTGGTGAGCCCTTCCCTGGAGTAGCAAGTCTCTTCCGGGAAAAATATGGATGGTGGTCATATCTGGGACTCCAGCAACCTGGCTTACACTGTTTGCCTCACCCTGGTGATTCCCTGAGGCCCTGCCCCACCCAGATTTTAGTCTCACCAAAGCTGTTTCCAAAGGTTTTACCATAGGATTGGCCTGTCTTGGATCCTGCTTCAGTTTCCTAAAATCTCTCAGACAAGCAGCATCTGGTCTCAGCAAGCCCCATACCTCTTGTTAAGTGGCCCTAGGCCTGGCACTAGGAGCAGCCAGCCTTGGTTTACAACTTGGCTTTGCCTGGGCAGCTCCAAGTCCAGCACAAGAAGCAGCCATCGACAGATTACTTTGTAGCTTATGCCACGTGTCCCCGGATAGAACACAGGCAGTAGCTGACCTTGCCCCAGAGCCAGCACACCCAGTAGACAGCTTCAGACAGCATTGAAACACCACCACCCAACCACCTCCACAAGTGACACACTCAATGAGTGGATTCAGTGGGTACCAGAGTCCTAATGAAGTAAGTCTTGCTCTGTGTAGTGGGCCCCTACACAGCTGATCCTCCAAGGTAGTCAGAGGCCAGTGGTCAGTGGGCACAGCCAGTCCTTGCAGTTGATCAGCCTGAGTAAATCCCTCCCATTGACATGCCAACAGCAATCAAGACTCAATTACAACAGAAGGGTGGACAGTCCTCATTAGGGGTGTACCTCGACAGCACAGCTGGGGTGATCAGGGAGGCTGTGCCATTGGATCCTACAGGACACCTACAACAGTAGGCCACCCTACAAAGCTTAGGAGGCATAGCAACTCTACCTCATACATAGAAACAGTCACAGGGAAGCAGCCAAAATGAGACAAAAAAAATGTCCCAAATGAAAGAAAAGAACAAAACTCCAGGAAAAGAACTAAACAAAATGGAGATAAGCAATCAATCAGATGCAGAAGTCAAAGCACTGTTTATAAGGTTGCTCAAGGAACTTGGTGAGACATTAACAACATAAAAAAGGACCAGTCAAAAATGAAGGATGCACTAACTGAAATAAGAAATAATTTATAGGGAATCAATAATAGAGTAGGTAAAGCTAAGAACCAAACCATCGATTTGGAATATAAGGAAGCAAAGAACACCCTATCAGAACAGCAGAAAGAATCCACAAAAATGAGGATAGTGTAAGGAGCCTCTGGGACAACTTCAAGCATACCAACATTCACATCATAGGAGTGCCAGAAGGAGAAAAGAGAGAACAAGAAATTGAAAACCTATTTGAAACAATAATGACAGAAAACTTCCCTAACTTGGTGAAGGAAACAGACATAAATCCAGAAAGCACAGAGAGTCCCAAACAAGATGAACCCCAAGAGGCCCACACCAAGACACATCATCATCAAAATGCCAAAGGTTAAATAGAAAGAGAGAATCTTAAAAGCAGCAAGAGAAAAGCAGTTATTACCTTCAAAGGGAGCTCCCATAAGACTGTCAGCTGATTTCTCAAAAGAAACTTTGCAGGCCAGAAAGGAGTGGCAAGAGATAGTCAAGGTGATGAAAAGCGACGACCTGCAACCAAGATTACTCTATCCTGCAAAGCTATCATTTAGAATCGATAGACATATCAAGAATTTCCCAGACAAGAAAAAGCTAAAGGAGTTCATCACCACCAAACCAGTATTATGTGAAATGTTGAAGGGTCTTCTTGAAAGAGAATAACAACAAAAATATGAACAATAAAATGGCAATTAATACATATCTATCAACAACGGAATCTACAAACAAAACGAGCAAGCAGAACAGAAACAAGACTCATAGATACAGAGAACTTTTTGTTGCTTGCCGATGGGTAGGGGCTGGGGGGATGGAGAAAAAGATGAAGGAATTAAGAAGTACAGATTGTTAGGCTGATGAACCTCAAAGGAAAGAGGGTGAGATGTGATAAATCAAAGAACTTCTGTGCATATATGCATAACCAATGGACACCAACAATAGTGTGGGGAAGTCAGGAGTGGGGAGGGATTGGGAAGGAGGGTGTCAATGGGGAAAAGGGGTGGGGTACATCTGTAATACATTCAACCATAAAGATGAGTTAAAAAAAATTAGGGGCTCAGCCTGGGCATCTTGTAAAGCCTGGTAGTTTTACACATTCAGAGAAACTCCTCTGAGAGAAATTTCCATAGTTCCAAACTATGGAAATAATCCCTGAAAGTATAGCCTTCTAAGGGTAGTTTTAAATAGCATGATATAGGTTAGGGGCTTTTCTTCATATGTCTACAGTTGTCTTAAGCTCAGGAGGTTCTTTGCAGATTATTCTGTTTTTTAATATGCAGATTTGATAATCATTAGATTAAAGAATTCTGGTTATTTTCCTTCTCATTTATGCATCATAATATGTAAAGTAAAACCACCTATCTAATAAAGGTATTGGTTTCATTTGAGAGGTAACTAGAGTAACCAAGATCAGGAACTATTTATAATAGTAGTAAATTAAAGTAGATGAAAAAGAAGTCATCTATCAACGAATATTTCTCAAGTCTTCCATGGAACATATCACTGATATAGAGCAGTGCTTACCAACTTTTTTCATGTCATGGAATACTGGTAAATAGACAGGGATGCTCCTGAAGTGGATTAACTATCCTCAAGTTGGCCTAGGACTGGTGGGGATTGGGAGCACATATGCATGGACCCCTGCATTGATATATTGGCACACCATTCCAACTTACAGCGTACTGGTAGGGAGCTCTGGTTAGAATAGAAATGACCCTGAATTGGCACTTTTAGAAAAGGAAAATAGAATGTCATTTCATTTTTGTTTTATAGTAAGGTGACCAACAATGAAAACAATATTTAAGTAAAACCGAATATGAACTAAGCTCACCCCTTCACTGCTGGTTTTGCTGGACTTACTAAGATTTGGTGATAACACAATTTTATCTTTTTAGGATTACATTTTCATTTTCAAATGTTTACTTTTTTTTTTCATTCCAAGTTGTTGTCAAACTGTCTTATTCTCTTGTTACAGATTCTGTTGGAAAATACATTGTGCCTAGAATGCTGTTGTTTTCCAAAAGCCTATTAAGCTTTACACTTATCTTATTTCTCTTTCAGTTGATTCCCTAGACCCTGAAAAGCTATTACAATGTCCCTATGATAAAAACCACCAGATCAGGGCCTGCAGGTTTCCTTATCATCTTATCAAGTGCAGAAAGGTAAGGTATTATTTTTATAATTTGCCCTGTAATGCCCTCTTGAGTTCTTTTTAAAAGCCAACTTTTATAAATATCAAATAATTGTTTTGGGAGTCTACCTTTGTATTAAATACCAACACTTATAGAAAGGAGTTTGTTTACTTCTTGGGTACATAAGTTTTTTTCCTGTTTTGTTTTTTTCTTCCAATTTATGATAAGCACACATATATTAGCAGCTTTTCTGGAGTCTTTTCATCCTTTATAAAACAGAGGAAGCACTAATTTTTGCTTGCAAGAAAAAATCCCTTTTTCCTTGTGAATTTGATGTGTTCATTGTCCTGATAAGGATTGAGTCTGTTTTCTGATATTTTGGGTTTAAATTGTAGAGAAGTTGAACAGTTAGAGGTTAGCCCAAGAAAAGATTATTCTGTTTTTCCAAATTTTGGCAGTAAGCATGTTTGAGGAGGAAGGAAAAACTCATTAGAGTTTCTTCTCTGGTCATTCTTTGGTAGACTTAGCTGACGTAAACTGCTTTAATGCTGGTATATTAACCGGGGCACTTTGAAAAGATTGTTAGAGTACAGATGTCAGATACAGAAGCCACAGTTCTGCCAGGATTTATGCTTGAAAAACAATTTTGATATTTAATTCAAACTGCATACAATTTATGTATGCATTAACATCCTTTAGAGGGTGTTTCTCTTGTAGTACTGGAGATATGATTATGCCATTTTTTATTACTTCTCCAGCTCTTTTTAATCTTTTGAGCAAAGGTCCTTAAAGTTGAACCTGCACAATATGAATCAGAAGATACCACCACAACTTCCTCCACTAGGCTCTCAAACATGTCAAGGAGAAAAGATGGGAATGGGACCCTGGCCAGTTTGGCTCAGCAGTTAGAGCGTCAGCCCACAGACCGAAGGGTCGCAAGTGCGATTCCTGGTCAAGGGCATGTACCTGGGTTGCAGATTCGATCCCCAGCCCTGGTCAGGGTCGTGTAGGAGGCAACCAATCAATGTGTCTCTCTTGCATCGATGTTTCTCTCTCTCTCCTTCTTCTTCCCTTCCCCACTCCCGCCCCTCCTCCCCCAAAAAAATCAATGAAAAATATCTTCGGGTAAGGATTAACCAAAAAAAAAGAAAGGTTGGGACAGGGAGCCAAGCAGTGTAAAGACACTGTAATAACTCCCCTCTTCTAATGTCCTTAATCTTTGGCCACAAAAGCTTTTTATTGGAATGCCTGATATCCCTTATAAAAATCATGGAGATAAATGCCCTCACAATTTTCTTCATCCTCTGTTTTTTCCCAGCCTTCCCTCCCATTTCACATTATTTTTACTTTTCTGAGTATTATTTGTGATATATCATTTGCTTCTCCTATTAAATAAAATGTTTAATTGCTGGTATATTTACCATAAGATTTGAGTGACATTTAACACTTTGTTTTATTTTAAAATAAGGAACTTGGTCAGCAGAGTAGACTCTGTCATTTGGGCTTTTCCTTAGTAAAATTACTGAAATAAAGGTCAGATTGTTCAGAGCTTCATTTCAGGCATCATTACTTTAAATAAGCATTCCTGTGTTAATCTGAAAATTCATTGTTTGCTTCTTCTGCAGCTCCCTTCCAACAGTTATTTTCCAGCCCTGTTATATTGCAATATCAGGAGCGTTACTGCAATGCAGACTAAGTGTGTGTTTTAGTGTTACTGTTCCTCCTCAATATCAGCTTTCAAAGACATTCTGAGAGCTCTACATTGCATGCTGTGCCACCTGAATCTCATGACTCTGAAGAACAGGGGAAGAAGATGTGGTTCAAATACTCAATTCTGAATTTGCTGTTTACCTTCATATAAGCCACTTTAACCCCTAATAGCTGTGTTGTTAGTCTTTGCAGTCATAACAAAGAGGCTCACATTTTGATGATTTTGAAATAATACATGGTCTATATGAGTGATAAATAATTTCCTCTTGCCCTGGCCGGTTTGCCTCAGCGGTTAGAGCATCAGCCTGCAGTCCAGAGAGACCCAGGTTCGGTTCCTACTAAGGGCACGTACCTCGGTTGCAGTTTGTCCCCAGCCCTGGTTGGTCGTGCGGGTGGCAGCCACTCGATGTGTCCCTTTCACATCGATGTTTCTCTCTCTCTCTCTCTTCCTCTCTCTCCCTCCCACTCTATCTGTACAAAAAATGGAAAAATGTCCTCGGGTGAGGGAAAAAAAGAAAAAGAAATCCAGAGAATTGATAGACCCCTTAATTTTTGTTCCACAGAATCATCCTGATGTCGCAAACAAATTGGCTACTTGTCCCTTCAATGCTCGCCATCAGGTTCCTCGGACCGAGATCAGTCATCATATCTCAAGCTGTGATGACAAAAGTTGTATAGAGCAAGACATTGGTAAGACTGACTAGCTAAAATGTTAAGTGTTAGAAGTTAGCCCCTTTAAATTTGTATTATGCTACATTGTCACCTTTGATTTTTGACATTTAAGAACACTTTCAGCAGGAAAAGGTTGTCAGGTTGTGTTTGTCAGAATGCTTTCTCTTCTACACAACCTGATCCATTTTACCAATAATTTATCTAATTAAAATAAATTCTTTTATTGCCATAAATATGGTAAATATTTTTGTTTCTGCTTCTCTTTCATGTCCTCTGTCAGCAAAGGGATAAGACCACTCTGTTTATCTTCTTTTTTTTTTTTTTAATTGTTTTTCTTTCTTGATTTTGGAGAGAGAGAAAGGGTGAGGGAGAGACAGAAACACTGATGAGAGAGAATATCAGTTGGCCGCCTCCTGCATTCCCTCCATTGGGAATCGGGCCCACAACCTGGGCATGTGCCCTGACCGGGAATCGAACCAGCAACCTCCTGGTACATGGGTCAACGCTCAACCACTGAGCCACACCGGCCGGATTGTTTATCTTTCATACCATCCATTTTTCAGGAACAAAGACCCATTGAGCTTCCCTGCAACCTCTTTAGCTACTAACCCCTTTAAACATAACTTAGCAATGTCAAAATCTCCATTGTGTTGTAGTCAACCAAACCAGGAACCTTGGACAAGAAACTCTGGCTGAGAGCACATGGCAGTGCCCTCCTTGCGATGAAGACTGGGATAAAGGTAAGTGCTTCTGGGTCTTTTTCTTCGCATTATCTAAATCTCAAGTCGTTTGCTTTAGACAGAAGGAAGATTTTCCTTTTTTATAAACATAACATGTTGTTCAGAATGCTTTATTATTTTTATTGGGCCCCAAAATGAGCACATTTGTATCGCTGTGCAGGCACGTGGAACAGCCTATCCCTCTTGATTGGAAAAAGCACTTCTTTACATCTGTTTTTTTTCATAAATTGTGTTATACCATCTGTGTTTGGCTGTTACTAGGAACGTTTATTATTATTTATGTTGTTTGTGTTTATATCCTTCAATTAAATTCCTGCTACTGTGTCACTTAGGCAGGGTACTTGATCAATTTTTACTTCCTTCTCTAAACTTAAGTGTATTATTTCCCATCTCACAAATTCAACTAGCATGAACTGGTATCTTGTACCACAAACTATATTTTGCTTCCTTTGGCAGATTTGTGGGAACAGACCAGCACCCCATTTGTCTGGGGCACAGCCAACTACTGTGGCAAGAACAGGTAAATGAAATGGTCTCATTTCCAGCACCACCTCCCAAAATCAGAGTGCTTTGTTACCAAAAGAAATCACCACAGCATGAATTGGCCTCTTTCCTTGATGATGTTGCTTGGTAGTAACTTAGTCTAGATATTGTTTCGGTGAATTATTTTTCTTATTTCTTCCTTGATTCATAAAAAGGTCACATGCTTTGTGTTAATTACTGTGGAAACACAAAAATACTAGCTTATAGTCTAGCAAAGGAGACAGTGGTGCCAGACATTCTTATGTCTTAGTTGTGTTTTTTGCTAGGTTCATATTATTTTAATGCTTTCAAAAAATTCTCCAGCTATACCACATGGATCATTTTTACTCATGGTAACTAGTGTCTAAAGAAAAAAGTAATCTTAAAAGTTTTTATTTGAGAGTGGGAAATCTAGAGTACCTATTGGGTAGGAAAGAAAACGCATCTCTTCTTCCCACTGATTTTGCTTATAATTTTTAAATCTATAAGATTTATCATTATTATTTGATCTTCAAACCTTAGAAGATCAGATTTAAAGTCCATATGAGAGCCCTGGCCGGTTTGGCTCAGCGGTTAGAGCATCCACCTGCGGTCCGGAGAGACCTGGGTTCGGTTGCCGCTAAGGGCATGTACCTCGGTTGCAGTTTGTCCCCGGCCCTGGTTGGTCGTGCGGGTGGCAGCCACTCGATGTGTCCCTTTCACATCGATGTTTCCCTCTCTCTCTCTTCCTCTCTCTCCCTCCCACTCTGTCTGTACAAAAAATGGAAAAATGTCCTCGGATGAGGATTAAAAAAATAAATAAATAAATAAATAAAGTCCATATGAGAATATTTCTGGATTAGAAAATAAATGAATGAGATGCTAAATTTTATTTTTTCCCCAAATAGAATACTTACCAATTTTTATTTCTTAGCTCCTGAGGTCAGTAATTTTAAGTGTACCCTATTTTGTGTGTGCACTAAGATAGAAAAACTTAAAGATAAATTTCATTGGTGCAATTTTAATTTAGCTTCAGTTCTGTGAGATTTGTTGCCTTTGGTTTCATTGTCTTGGCATTTTATTTTATCTCTTATGTTTATTGAGTGAGTTGATGAGCCTGTCATACAACTGAACAGTAGATGGCATTGCTGTTTATCTCAATTTCTGGAAAATGAAAATACTTAGACCCATCTTAATGCCTGTACAGAACAGTGAGCTTTCCAGAGAAATGGTAATCATTCTAATTGCAAGAATGTTTTGATGGAAATGTGTTTACATTTCATAATGTAGGTTGTTGTTTTCCCCAAAATTACAAAAACACATTTTGATTGTCTTGCATGTGCCTGCCTGAAGAATACAGATATGCTGGCATAGTCAAATGTATCTTTCTTTTGCAGCCCTGCAAGCAACATAGTTATGGAACATAAGAGTAACCTAGCTTCAGGCATGCGTGTTCCCAAGTCTCTGCCGTATGTTCTGCCATGGAAAAACAGTAAGTGAACTAATACAAAATACTTCTATTCTTTTCTTAGTGCTAATAAATACAGTTAGTCTTAATATGCAAAGACATATTTAGTCTGAATACCTTGCACTCCCATAACCCTGAGAGTGAGTACCCCCTTAAATTTTGCACCCTAAGCACCTCACTCCACACTATCTTGGTTCTAGTTAGTAACAGGAAATTATGAACAGGAAAGTACAAGATCACAGAAACCAAAATAATAATTTCAAGATGGGGTGACTACTGACATATATGCCATGAGTAAATTTGGGGACCAATAAAAAGACTATTGCCCTAACTGGTGTTGCTCAGTGGTTAGAGCATCAGCCCTTGCACCAAAGGGTCTTGGGTTCAATTCTTGGTCAAGGGCACATACCTGGGTTGCAGGTTCCATCCCTGGCCCCAGTCAAGGCACATGCAGGAGGCATGCATGCGATGTGTTTCTCTCACATCAATGTTTCTCTGTCTCTCCTTCTTTCTCTCTGTCTCTCTCTTTCCCTCTCTTTACCACACCCCACTCTCCCCCTCTCTCTGCTACCCTCTCCCCTCCCTCCCTTCCACTCTCTAAAACATCAATGGAGTTTTGTTTTTTTGCTATGGTGGTGAGCCATAAAGGTTTGATGAAAGAAAGAATGAAAGAAATTAGTAAGTGGCTGTCTGAAGTATTTTCCAAAAGATAAACATTACAAAACATTGAATACAGCAGTTCACCACGAAGATTCTGTTGTTTTGGGGAACACAACTTCCAGCAGCCACAGGGATGCTGCTTCTTGGGTGCCATCTGAAGCAAGCTCCTCCTCAGAAGATTTTGTGTGGCTTCTGCGCCATGAAGGGGAAACTGCAAAGCAAACTCAGACACAGCACTTATAAGTATAAGAGAGAATTCAAATTACAGCTTTTCACAAGTATAACCCAGCTAACGTGGATACCGTCTCTGTTGTTGCTGCTCTGAACTCAGACCTTTGTGTCTCCAAAGGAAAAGATAAGATAGTTGTGGCCTATAACTGGAAAACTGGAAATGTGGTGAAAAGGTTCAAAGGACATGAACATGAAATCACCAAGATAGCTTGTATTCATAAATCAAACCAGTTCTTCAGCACCTCTTAGGACAGGATGCTCATGATATGGGACTTGCATGGTTCCTCATAACCAAGGCAGCAGTTCCCCGGCCATGCCATGGTGGTCACTGGATTAACTGTGAGTCCAGACTCATCATAGCTGTGCACTGGCTCTCGGGACAACACCCTACTTCTGTGGGATGTGAGGACCAGACAGTGTGTGGAGAGAGCTTCAGTCTCCAGGAACCTGGTCACTCACCTGTTTTGGGTCCCCAGAGAACCATATGTACTAAAGACTTCTGAAGATAAAACCATCAGATTAGTATGGGATAGTCGAGGGCTGCAGGTGGCTCATATATTTCCTACAAAGCAACACATTCAGACCTACTGCATGGTCAGTGAGGATGGACACAAGTGTATCTCCTGCAGCAGTGGCTTTGGAGGAGAAGGCTGTGAAGCCACATTGTGGAACCTAAGATGGACGCAGAACAGAAAATGTGAGTATAAGGGGCATTTCCAGACTGTTGCATCCTGTGTCTTTCTACCAAGAACATTGGCCTTGATGCCTGTAATTGCTACCTCATCAAGTGACTGCAAGGTGAAGATTTGGAACCAAGATACTGGAGCCTGCCTGTTCACCTTGTTTCTGGATAGATCAGGACCTTTGATTTTCCTAGCTGTTGGCGACACTGTCTCCTTACTGTGTGCAAGCAGAGGAATTCACTTGCTCAGAGTGGACCGCAGCCGAGGGCTAGAACTGTGGGAAGTGGCAGCATTCTGAGGCCAAGAGACATTCTCTGGACAGTATCAAACCATGGCCCTTCCTTTCTCAGTGTGGCTTTGTTTTTCCATGTTACCTTCAGGAGAGGGTGATATGGGGCTGGTATACTTTACTTAGGTTTACTTAGAAGGTATATCAGTGTTAGAAGTCAATTTGAGGCTAGTGGTGCAGTTTAAAAACATGAACTACTAAACATAAAGTTCTCAATCTAAGTTAAATCCAAATGCAAGTTTTAGTGAGTTCTTGGGACTGCTTTTCCAAAAATATATATAAATTTATGGCTCAAAATGGTGACCTGTAGGTCTCTGTGAGAGTCAGGACACAGGCTCTGAGTCCATTGAACTGACCTTTTCTATGTCTCCACAAAAGAAAGAAAAGTGAGGGGGAGAGAAATTCTGCTTTGCTTGCCTTGAAATTATTGACATGGGAAAGAATAGTGCAACTCCATAGAGGAAATAGATTGTAAACATGAAATTTAGCTCTAACCACTGCTCCTCAGCAATGTGAAGAATCAAAGTTAGGGCAAGGAAGTAAAAGCCTTGTCCTCTACTCAAAATAGTAGCAGAGAGGATGGCAAATCCCTGCTAGTTCTTGGTACCTTCCTAGACCAGTGCAGAGGTTGCATGAGACTAAGACCTGAGATGGCTTGAAGAGGCTGAGCACCCCATGGACCTTGTCAGAATTATAGGAGTTACCAAACTGCTTCTGTAGATAAGAAATTTGATAGGTTGCAAAATTAAGACACAAAAATGTCATTTGCACATTTTAATATTATTATTTGTTTTATGTAAACTCTTTCCAGGGAATGGCCAGAGTGAGGCACAGGGGATAGATAGCTGCAGTGACAAGAGAACATCTAGGAAAAAGCAGAAGCATGAACTTAACTGTGTGCTGCCATTGAGCACCCCTCTCCCAGTGCAGAAAGATGGGGTGCTCAGGTCTGCCTGTATGTCCCCCAGGAAATCAGTCCCCATCAGGTGCTCACAAGCCCATATTCCTCCAGGGAAAATAAAATTCCTCCTGTCTTCAGGCAAGCCCATGCCGAAGGCACCTGCTGCCCAGGGATTTCCTTTTTGATGAGTCCCAGACAAAGAAAGATTTTGCATTTGTCTTCTCTGGCCCCTGCCTGCCCCTAATGCCCATGGCTGACAGTCATCTTCCTGCCTCCCTCCTGCTCCTCTTTAAGTCCAGCTCCTTCAAGCTGTCTCTACTGACTGGGGAGGAGAATCTTAAGCTACTGCAAAGCGTCAAACCTAAATTTGGGTCTCCATTTCTCCATTTAGCTGGATGATCTTGGGCAAGTTATGAAATTTCAGTTTCCTCACTAATTATGTGGGGCCATAATCATACATTCCTCACAGGGCTGTTCTGAGGACTGAAGAGAGCTATATTAAATGCCAAGCAACGTAGTAGGTGCTTATAAATGATAGCCATTGGTATTTATTATCCTCTAAATGCTCCAGACTAAATGCTCTCTTTTCCAAACATTTACCATTCATCTATTTATTCTCCTTAGATTCTATTTTCTAAGCCTTTAGTCATCGTTCAGCTTCCCTTTTGATTCCTTATCCTTAAGTTACGGATCTTGACACTCTGGAAGGACAAAGAGGTAGTGAGTGTGGGGGCTGCTTCATTGAGCACATACAGTTGTCTGAATACATTTACTCTTACTCCGATTCTCATTATTATTCCCATTTCACAGAAGAGGAAGCAGAGGCATAGGCACATCCAGTCTTTGCCCAAGGTTACACATAGGAAGGAGAAAAACTGAAATTTGAACCTGGGTCAGCCTGACTCAAAGCCAGATTCCTTTCCTCCCTTTCCCTTTGCATGGTGTCACAAAGTTTACGTTAGAATTGTGTATTTTCTAGACTAGTTACTAACTTTTGGGCTCCAAAAGATCCTCCTTGCTAGATGCCCAGGAGCAGTAGGCAGGTGTTTCAGGAAAAGTCCTAGAGCACTTTTTAGTGCTATGGCTGACCCTGTCTTCTAGAAGGAAAACAGGCAGCAAGTCAGAAAATCCAGGGGAGTGGATTGGGAGGGGGTCCCTCAGAAAGGGATCAGGCTTCTGTGAGAGGGGAACATGCCTGTGAGAAAACAGTAGGCTTCTTATGAATTAGCAGGGTTCTATTACCAATAAAATTACTTCCCTAAACTCTAAAAAATAAATAAATAAATGGGGGAAAAAATATCCTTGGGTGAAGATTAACAACAACAACAAAAAAAAAGACTGTTGATTTTGGTTAGGAAGTCATCCCTGACTTTCAAGGCATAAAATCAATAGGGAATTGGGATTAGAAATTGGATTTCAAGCCCTGGCCGGTTTGGCTCAGCGGTTAGAGCATTGGCCTGCAGTCCCGAGAGACCTGGTTCAGTTCCCACTAAGGGCAGGTTCTTCGGTTGCAGTTTGTCCCCGGCCCTGGTTGGGTCATGCGGGTGGCAGCCACTTGGATATGTCCCTTTCATGTCGATGTTTCTCTCTTTCTCTCTTTTCCTCTCTCTTCCTCTCTCTCCCTCCCGCTCTGTCTGAATAAAAAAAGAAAGAAAGAAATTGGATTTCAGGGACCTGAAAGGAAATGTGTAGAGAGAACATGAACGTTATGAGTCATAAGAACCAGCATAAAAATAGTATTTAAATGTCTTCCCTAGACATCAGAGGCAATGCTGAGCAAACAGATACTAAATTTGTATCATACCACCCTGTTAAAGAAATTCCCACATACAGAACACCCAAAATATTGTCATATTTAATATAAACTTTCTTTTCCTAATATTATCGCCAAATTCACATTCCCTTGGTTTCAGCCTTTGTTACTATTCGAGCTAATTTTCAAGTAACTAGAGGATTTCCTTTTTAAAAAATGTCTTTTTGAATACTTGCCCAAAAAATGAGATCACCAAATCATATGCCAGAAGTCTTGATAGGTAAAGGACTGTTTTCTTTTCTCATGCTCTTGAGTAGAATCCAGTCACTAATTTTAAATTTTTCTACTTTTATTTAGCCCTGGCTGGTGTGGCTGAGTTGGTTGGAGTGTCGTCCCGTGCACCAAAGGGTCATGGGTTCGATTCTCAGTCAGGGTACATAGCTGGATTTAATAATAAAATTAATTAATTAAATTTTTCTACTTTTATATTGTAATTCAGTATACCTCAGAATAAGTTATTTATTTAGTATCCCAGAATAAGTTGTTTAGTAAGAATAGAGGATGGAGTTAATTTCAGTTGACATTGTGTATTTATTTTGATATATTTCTATTCTGTAGATGGAAATGCACAGTAACTGAGTATCTCATCAAGTAAGTGTTTCAATTTTTTTCACTGTCTCTTCAGATGATAGCAAGATTTAACTGGACATAAAGCAATTTGGGTCCAATTTTCTTTGAGATTATGGTACCAAATTAAAGCTTTGTGTGTGCCTATGTTTTTTAAGTATATAGCTTCTGTTATGGCTTTACACGGTAATGAATAGGCATTTACTAGTTAAATTAGAATTCGGTTAACATGCCAAGTTGCTTTCCCTAGAGTTAGTACACATTGCCTTTTCCTTTTTCTTTCTTTTCTTTATCAGAGTTGCATTCTAGATCTATTGCACCTCTTTAATGAACTGAGATTAATCTGACAGCTGTGCTTCACTGCTCTGCAATTCTTTCCCTGTGCAGTACAGTTTAACACATCAAAATATTCATACTCTTTTTAATGAGCCTTACAAGTTTTGGGTCTCTAAGAGTCTTGCCCTGTTGATTTTATCTGAAAATTTGATTTAACAGAACCACACAAAATCTATATGAAGAGAGCAAAATGTTTTGCTTTTCACAGATGGAACCTTTCCTCGAGGTTACCCTATGTGTCTATAGCAGAGCCAAGTTTGATGTTTCAAATGCTGTCCTGGCTGAGGTTGCCCAGCCACATTGCTCCTGGCAAAAGGAATATTATAAAAGCTAGGAATGAGATTATATCCCCTACTCTCTTGAAGCTAGTAAGCCCTCAGTGAATGTTTAGTGAATGAATGAGTAATAGGCCTATTGCCTTCCAGTTCATTCACTTCCTCAGGACAGTGAATCAGATGGATCTTCTGTAAGTTAGGGTTGATTTTGTACCAAAACTGATGTTTCTTCTGGTGAGAAATAGAAAAGAGATTCTAAAAGCAAATACTCCTCACCCTGGCCAATTTGGTTCAGCAGTAGAGCATCAGCCCGTGGACCAAAGAGTCATGAGTTTGATTCTGGTCAAGGCACGTACCTTAGTTGTGGTTCATCCCTGGCCCTTGTCGGGGTCCCGTGCGGGAGGCAGCCAGTCGATGTGTCCCTCTCACGTTGATGTTGCTCTCTCCCTCCCTCCCACTCTATCTAAAGATAAATAGAAAAATATCCTCGGGTGAAGATTAAAAAATGAAAGCAAATACTCCTTAACTATGGACAATAACTGTTGGTTGCTTCCTACCAGCCACTTTTTTTTAATAGGTTCTGACATCAATTTGTTAAATACACCAGGAAGGCATAAAATTGCATTTGTCCCCAGAGGGAAAGAGACACAATAGCACTGGGGTATATCAGCAAAGCACACACAGATCTGGATAAATCATGAACTTTGAGTTTTTCTCTGATACATTGTACACAATACTTGGTGTTCTTATAGTATGGATAGTTACCTAGTAAAAATGGCTACTCTTAAAATTAAAGCCTAGGAGAAACTTCTATCTCTATCACTTCAGAAAAGGCACACCTCTCCTTTAAAACTCAACTCTTTGCTGTTAAACTCCTTAGATGCTGAAATTTTATTTTTCTGTGTAACCGCTGAAGAACCAGGAAAAAAATTATCCTAGGTTATATAAGACTCTTTAAACAGCCACAGATCTTCTTATCCTCTTAATAAGGTATCTTTTTTTTTGAATGCCTGTTGTTGCACAATTCTCTAGCTTCTTTTGAAGCATACAAAAGAAATAGAAGACATGGCTTATTTCCTTAAGGAACTTAATTATGGGTGGAGAGTTTTTAATGCACATGCATGAAAAGAGTTTGGTTTTTTTTGTTTGTTTGTTTTTTGTTGTTTTTTTATCCTCACCCGAGGACATTTTTCCATTTTTTGTTCAGATAGAGCGGGAGGGAGAGAGAGAGAGAGAAACATTGATGTGAAGGGACACATCGAGTGGCTGCCACCCGCACGACCAACCAGGGCCAGGGACAAACTGCAACTGAGGTACGTGCCCTTAGCAGGAACCGAACCCGGGTCTCTCTGTACCGCACCGGCCAGGGCGAAAAGAGTTTGTTTACCTTGTACTCACTATGCTTTATCCACATTTGTGTTTTTCTCAACAATTCCACTTTTTACTAAATAAGTGCCTCAAAAGATAATACTGATTTTTGTTCTTCTAATGTAATTGTGACAGCTCAAGAAATATTGTTAAATTAATGAGTAGTAGAGTGAATGAAAAGAAAATAGATCAATTGGAATTAATCCAGAATTGTCTCCAGAAGTCAATTGCCTGGCTAGTCAGTTCTGATTTTCTCCTCAGTCATGAAACTGTTGACACAAAGAGTGTACATTGATCTCTGTATAGAATACTTTTAATTCAATTAACAAGTTTCTGTGTGCTTGGTGGTACTAAAGAGTTCAAGGTCAGAAGGTACTTGGTGCTCTGCCATTTAACAACAGCGAATTCCTCCAGTTACCAAGAGATTTTAATTGGGTTGTAGTTGTGTGGCCCATTGTCATATGTAATTGGTGCCTTTGTCATTGAAAGGAACTAAAAATTCTTTTTTTTTTCCTTACAGATGCCTGAACCTAGGAGACTCTTGCTTCTTCGTGCTACCAATGGGTTCTTCATTTTTCTCCTAATCTAATTATAGAAAGATAAACTGTGACTTTCAACCTGACAGCTGCCTTTTTTCTTCCCCTACTTTTGAGTCCTCACTCATTTGATGCAAGAAAGAATCCTCATACTTAGAAAAACTGTTTAAAATAAACCATTGGTGTAGATAAACTTGATAGGTTAGTTAAGTACCTGCAACCCCAAGATCAGAAGTCACATCCCATTCCATATTAATGAAACATAATCATTTAAAGTAAATTTAAAGAATCCAGCAAAAGCAGGCAAGAAAATTGGGGTGGAAAAGTAACTATGTATTTTTGTTCTCTGACATACATGGACTAAATTCGTTTTAGTATTAGCAGGAATGGACCCACTTGATCAGTGCATCTCTTTACTCAGAGCCTCCAAGATACTGATTGCATTTATAGAGCAAATATCCCATTATTTAGAATCTTCAGGATATCTTGCCTAAATATATTCAACCTAGTTTTCTTTTATTTACTTTCTCTCTCACACATTCCAGCTAGACATTGTACTAGTTGGCAAACTAGGTGTGGATATTATGTAGGAGTGAAGTTTGGCGTGGAGGGAAGGAAGTCTACATATGGAAAACAGGCTTTCCACCTGCGTGTGAAATACAATTAAGCTTCAAAGCTTAAATGTGTGCGGGCCCTGCTGACTACTCTGGGATGTACATATAAGATTTTGAAACATCCAAAGCTCTAGCTATCTAGCACCTTTTGGCCCTTACAAGGAGACTTCATAATCACCCCAGACATTGTTTGAATTGTTTTTTGTGTGGTTGTTTTCAAGTTTGATTTGGTTTGGTTTTAAAACTGTGTGGTATGGGGAGGGATTTGTGATCTGGTATAGACAGTAACTTGGATGAAGCATACTGATAAATAATTCCAAAAATGATCTCTCTAGCAGAGTAACAGATAAAGGGAAGTAGGCTCTTGTGGAATGCCTTCTTCACTAGTTTAACACAAAACAGGATTCTTCCCTGATAAAGCAGAGCTTTGTGTTTATTTAGTTCCAAATTCTAAAAACAGGTTCATGATAAGCTCCAGTACAATAGTATTTCTGCTTAGCTGCATGACCTTAAGTGAATAACTAGGCCATATCTTCTGGAGAGGGTGGTGAATATATTCAGGAGAGGGGAAAAAACACCCTTTATGCCCCTAATTCAGGTCACTTATGTTTGTGTATCAATCAACACCTCACAAACACTTTATTTAAAAATAGTCATTACTGGAAAATACAAAACCATTTTGATTTCATTTGTTAGGGCAATGACAGAACAAAACTCTTGTCTGCTACACTTGTAACCCAGAACTCTAACCTAGTTTAAGAGAAACAAGAAGGGGCATGAGTCTCACTGGAAAGAATTAGCTGCTTGAATACAACAAAGGAATTAAACAGAAAATAGTTATTTTGTGTTTTTTAAATATCTAAAGAAGTGAGATAGGATAACATCTATCATTTAAAAAACAAATGAAAACCCTGATTTTGTTATTTTAGGAGAACACCTCTGCCCGAATTTAACCACAATACATCTGACCTTTTGAAGTATAACACTCACCTAGAATGAATGGCTGCCTGTGTTTTTAACTCACAAAATAAATAAGACAGTCCTGTTGTTTAATCATTAGTAAACTAATGATTAAAACAACCAATTTGATCCAGGAGCTTTCAGAGACTGCTTGGGATTTTTATTGGCCCTCGGATTCACTAGTCTGGACTTTGTTTGCTGGAGATTTTTAGAGACTCCCAAAAACTAGAACAAAGAAGTGACTATTTACTACTTGTCAGGTGTTGGGAGGAGAAGCTTACTTGTCTTTGACACCCTCTTTTTGAGATGATGCCCTCCCCTTCTAATGTAAACAGTGGAATGTAAAGAGTTGAATATTCTACCGTTAGTTCAGTTACATCAGGTGTATGATTAAATGCAGAGGTGTTTCAAAACCTTAGTCCAGAGCCTCTGAATCCTGCATTTTGATCTTATGCAGTGCTTGCAGATTCTACCCCCAAAGAGAGGATTTGGTTTTTGGAAGATTGCCTTTCTCTATAGGGGTTATAGAAGTTCCATTGTGATTTGCAAGTGTTCTTATCAGGAATAAACAAATGCCAGTAATAAAGGATTTTTAACTCTCCTGGTAGCTGTACCTGAGCTAAACAAGGAAAGTATTTAGATTTAATTTCAAGTAATACACCACAGTACCCTTTCATTGGTGAGGCAGAACAGTAGCTGCTTGTGTTATGTATGTACCTATACTGGCATTCTTAGAGTTCTTGTACTTTTCACAATTCACATTAAGCTCAAAAGGAGACAGAAACTAAGGAGATAACATTATACTTATTACCTTTTTTAAAGATGCAGGTTATAAAAATCAAGTTGATTTGCATACTATATTTTAAATGGTCAAAGCAGGACTGGCCTTGTGAAGACGAGAAAACATTTAAGAAAACATTCATTTATTGTATCAGTACAATGGGTAGAATAAGGAAAAGTACCTAAATTCCATGAGAAAAACACAGTAGTGATGGCCAGTTCTTTAGATTACTGTATACCTGGTACTGTTAAGACTTGGAAAATGTTTGTATCCTACTTTACAGTCATGGCCTTTTCAGAGGCCACTGAAGACATTAACCTGTTACCTCATACCAACAGTCTTAGCTGACTTTCTATTCCAGCCATACCAGTCTGAAGAATGCAAACCTGTGTGTATGAACAGCACATTTTCCCTTTACATAGCCATTCTGCTGCCTGGTGCAACACATTTAATTTTTTTTTCTTATCCTCACTCAAGGACATTTTTGTATTTATCTTCAGATAGAGCAGGCAGGAAAGAATGGGGAAGAGAGAGAGAGAAACATCGACTGGTCACCACCCACACAACCCCTACTGGGGCCAGGGACAAACTGCAACCGAGGTACATGCCTTTAGCGGGAATCGAACCCAGGACTCTCTGGTCTGCGGGCAGACGCTCTAACTGCTAACCCAAACTGGCCAGGGCTCAATGCATTTAATTTTTATAAATTTGGTAACTGGTGAGACATAAAATCTAAAGTATCCTAGGCCAACAGTAACCCTAGAGAACAACCTTATGGTCAGCAGATCTGCATTTGTGTTTACCTTAACTGAAGACTGTTTTATATGAAACTAAAGTAGTGTAAGAACCTTTGAGGAAAAGAGAAGAAATTTAGTTTTATAATTTTGTGTGTGTGTGTGTGTGTGTGTATAAATAACTATAAAATAGAGGAAATAAGTCCAGATTGTATGAAAAGCTGTGTATGAATCCAACAATGCCTCTTAATTTTTATTAAAATACTTGTCACTGCCCTGGCCAGTTTGGTTCGGCGGTTAAAGTTTTGGTCCAAGGACCAACGAGTCATGGGTTCAATTCCCAATCAAGGGCAAGTATCTGGGTTGCAGGTTCGATCCCCTGCCCCAGTGGGTGTAGTGCGGGAGGCAACCAGTTGATACTGCCTCACTCACATAGATGTTTCTCATCCTCACCCTCTTCCTCTCTCTTCTATCTAAAAAACAAACTTGTTACTGAAATAAAGTATGCTTTCCTGGTTCATCTATTTCAGTTTTATTTCCTCAGGCTTTGGATTCAGTTTTTCATTGGACCAGGGTTATTTAGGTCCTTGTATTGGTTGTTTCTAGAGTAGAACTTTATAACAGAGGTGCAAATTGAAAGTGATGGAGGTAAACGCGGTATCGCGCCTCCCACAACCACATCAAAGTTACAACTAAACTACAGAACAACCATCACTCAAAACCGCCTAAAATCAAGCTGAATGGAAGTCCTACGGAATTAAAGCAGCAGCCACATCAAGATTGGGAGGAGGGGCGGAGGCACGACGGGCTGGTCCCACACCTATGTGTGGCGGATAAAAATCAGGAGGACAAAAAAATAAATAATAATAATAAAAAAATCAGGAGGACACCTCAGCTGGCAAGGTCCTCCCTGAGGACAGAGGGGTCCCCATCCCACACCAGGTGCCCCGCTCAGGGTTCCAGTGCCAGGAAGAGAATCCCCATAACTCCTGGCTGGAAAAACCAGTGGGAACTGAGGCTCAGGGAAGCTGACATGGCTGGAGCCCCAGGCAGCTCCTTAAAGGGCCCGCGCACGGACTTATCAGATTCACTTCCTCCAAGCTTGGAGGGGAGGCAGCTCGAGGGGTGCCAGAGACATACAGGGAAGAGCTGAGCTGTTTGGCACTGGAGCGAGGGCTGGAGAGGGGGCTTTTCCCGGGACAAATGTGCTGTCAGAGGCCTTTGTTCCCTTGGTGAGCCCTTCCCTGGGGCAACAGACAGTCACCATATCTGGGACTCCAGCAACCTGGCTCATACTGGTAGCTCCGCCCTGGTGATTCCCTGAGGCCCCACCCCACCCAACTTTCAGGCCCACCCAAGCTGTTGCCAGTTGCTTCACCATAAGATTGGCCTGTCTTGGATCCTGCTTCAGGTTTTTCTAAATTCCTTCAAACAAGCAGCATCTGGTCTCAGCTAGCCCCATACCTCTCGTTAAGTAATACACAGAAACAAACACAGGGAGGCAGCCAAAATGAGGAGACAAAGAAACAGGTCCCAAGTGAAAGAACAAAACCCCAAGAAAAGAACTAAGTGAACCTAAGCAACCTAACAGATGCTGAGTTCAAAATACTGCTTATAAGGATGCTCAATGAACTTAGTGAGAACCTCAGTGAACTTAGTGAGGGCCTCAAGAGCATAAAAAAGGACCAGTCAGAAATGAAGGAGGCATTAACTGAAATAAAGAATAATTTACACCTATTCAATAGTAGAGTACGTAAATCCAAGAAGCAAACCATCAATTCGGAATATAAAGCAAAAAAACGCCCACAGAGCAGCAAAAAGAAAAAAGAATCCAAAAAAATGAGTACAGTGTAAGCCTCTGGGACAACTTCAAGCGTGCCAATATTTGCCTCTTGGGGGTGCCAGAAGGAGAAGAGGGAGAATAAGAAATTGAAAGCCTGTTTGAAACAATAATGGCAGAAAACTTTCCTAACTTGGTGAAGGAAACAGACATTAAAGTCCAGGAAGCACAGAGAGTCTCAAACAAGATGAACCCCAAGAGGCCCACACCAAGACACATCATCATCAGAATACAAACGGTTCAAGACAAAGAG